TTTCATATTCAAAATAATATCAGATCAAATAAGAAGAACCTTTTCTGGAGAGGAAAAGATGTCAGAAAATACATTGCTAGGCAGGTGACATTTAGCTGGGGCTTAAAGAAAAAAGGAATTCATTAGAAAAGAAAGATATTCCAGAAATAATACAAATGTGAAAATAATAAGATCTACTCAAGGAACAGTAAGTGTAGTGCAACTAAAAAGTAGGTCAGTAGAAAGAGAAAAAAACTTGGACTTTATACTAAACGATAAGCCCCTAGGTAAAGGTAAAAAGGGAGGTGAGATGAGTTCAGACAATGGGGACTGGAATAGGAGAATGAAGTCAAGAGAGAGTTTAAGAGACAAAATTGACAGAACTTTTTTACTATACCAATATGTCAAAGGAGGCTAACATTTCAGCTTGAATAGATGTGCAACTAATGGAACTCAGTAACCTAAAAGACCAATCAGGAAGGTCTTTTGAAAGACAGAGAAATTGTTGAGCAAATAAGGGGGAAAGAAACTAGGGAATTCAATTCCAGCTATATGAATTTCTGATTTTAGTAGGAACATTCATATGCAGCTAGATTTTAAATATGGAAGCAGGAGAAAAAGAACTGGAAGTTATCTTTACACAAATAGTAATTTCAGTTCTTCCTCCTTTCCTCCTGTTACAAAAGATCCAGGACTGCAGGATGAAGCCACACCCTTAGGTAGGAGCCTGGTTCCTTATTTTAAAGCAGCTGTACCAGCCCTACAATTGCCCACCTCTGAACTCTTTTGTCTCACATTACATCCCTTTACTTGTTTAAGCTACTGCTGTCACAATTTTTGTTACTAAGGGTCAAACTTATTTCTACCCAATGCAATGGTCCTCATAGCTTTGTTCTTGCTATTCTTTTTTGTCAACCTGTACACTCCCCTCAGGGAGATCTCATCCATTCCTTTAGTTTTAAAAACCATCTATGTGCTGATGACTCCCAAATCTAGGTTTTCATTTGACTCAATGAATACTGAGTAGATGTGACAAGACTATTCAATACATCAAATTTTTGCTATCACAGAGACTGATAATGATATAAAATGATATTCTAATTCTATGCAAAGCTAAATAATGTAATATAAAAAGGGATATTCTCAGAGAAGCTACATAAAGGGAAAGAAAAAAGATGGATTTACAGGAGGATCAAAACAAATGGGCAAAAACAAATTGTGTACTTTTTCACAGATACCTCACTAAATAATTCTAAATAAATATATTTTCCAATTTTTTTGTGGTAAAAGACACATCAAATTTATCATTTAAACCATCTTTAAGTCGTACAATTCAGCAGCATTAAGTACATTTGCACTATTGTACAACCATCACCACTATCCATCTCCAAAATTTGTTCATCATCCCATACTGAAACTCTCAGCCGCTTAACACTAATTCCCCATTTCTGCCCTCTCCCCAGTCCCTTAGACACAGGTTGAGGTTGCAGTGAGCTGAGATCATGCCATTGCACTCCTGCCTGGACAGGAGCAAAACTTTGTCTCAAAAAAAAAAAAAAAAAACACCGAAAGAAAACACCATTCTACTTTCTGCCTCTATGAATTTGACTATTCGAGGTGCCTCATGTAAGTTGAATTTATTTGTCCTTTTGTGACTGCCTTATTTCACTTAGCAGAATTTTCTTCCTTTCTTTTTTTTGAGACAGGGTCTCATTCTGTTGCCAAGGCTGGAGTGCAGTGGCGTGATCAAAGCTCACTGCAGCCTTGACCTTCCCAAATCAAGCAATGTTCCCACTTTAGCCTCCCAAGTAGCTGAAACCACAGGTGTACACGATTACACCCAGTTTTTTGTTTTGTTTTGTTTTGTTTTTTTGTAGAGATGGGGGTCTCAGTTTTGCCCAGGCTGGTCTTGAATTCTTGGACTCAAGCAAACCTCCTGCTTCAGCCTCCCAAGGTGCTGGGACTATCGGCGTAAGCCAACAAACCTAGCTTTCCTTTTTTAAAGCTGGATAATATTCCACCTTATGTATATACCACATTTTATCCATTTTTTTGTCAATGTGCACTTGGGTTGATCTACCTTTTGGCTATTGTGAAAAATACTTCTATGAATATAAGTGTACAATTAACTGTTGAAGTCCATCCTCAGTTATTATATATATATATATATATATATATATATATATATCCAGAAATGGAACTGCTAGATCAAATCATAGTTCTAAGTTTAAATTTTTCTGAAGACTCAACATACAATTTTCTACAGTGGCTTTTTTACATTCTTATGGCAATGTACCAGGGTTCCAATTTCTCCATATCCATACTAACATTTGTTTTCTATGTATTGTTTTGTTTGTTACAGTCATATTCAGGGCTATGAAGTAGTATCTCATGGTTTCCAGCTGCATTTCCCTAATGATTAGTGGTGTTTAGTTATTTTTTTTTTTAATGTTTTTCATCAGCCATTTGTATATCTTTGGAGATGTGTCTATTGAAGTCCTTTGCCCATTTTTGAATTGGGTTGTCTCTTTTTTGTTGTTGAGTTTTATAAGTTCTTTATATATGCTGGATATTACTTAAATATATCTATTTTTAAAGATAATATTAACAAGCAAATTTCTATATAAATAAAATTCAGCATGCCATAGGAAAATTATAGTTAAGTTACTCTAAATAGCCCATTTATTAAGAGCAGTCTGAAAATACAGTATTTTCAGATATGAATTCCAAAAATCAAACTGTCTAAAAGCCATTGGTTCTTCCAAAATAATTAAGCATTCTTGCTTTTCTACTAACCTCACAAAGGTACTCAAAAATGTTTTTATAAAATTCACAAATGATAAAAAACAAAGAAAGTATCCCCAAATTCATATGACTCGTACAAAATACTCAAAAATACCCTCACATGTCAGAGCTTCAGAGGCACCATGATGCACACCTTCATATAAGCCCATTTCTATTTCAATCTATGTAAATGACACCCATAGAGCACAGAAGAGCACCCTTACAAATAGAGACTGCACTGTAAATGGTGGTACCTGCAGTTTTGCAACACTGTAGCCCTATGGCATTCAAGTCCTAAACAATGTTTCATTTTTATTCTTACTATCTCTGACACAGTTTTTAAAATATAAAACAGGAAAAAGTTAAAATAATCAAAGTGGACATTTGTTATTCAATTCAATGACTTGCTAAACTCTAACGTGACTTACTCATTTTTATCCAATTAAACCACTTAATCCTATTCTTCCAAATGACAGTTGTACTACTGAAACAGATCTGTTGTTTTTATCACCCTGGCATCCAATCGCCTTTATATAACACATCAATTTCCCAACTCACAATCACCTCCCCCATTCTCAATCACTAAAGTTCAGATAAGCATTTGATTTAACCTGGAGCAATAAAATTCTCAGTAATTAAATCAGGGATAAGCATGACATAAGGCAGTAAGATTGAGTCCTACAACTTTTGTTGAAATATTTAGGGAAGAAACGCTTTCATGACTGATAAGCCTAGGTTACGGGTGGTCACCACCAGCATCTCTTAACGGCCAACCAGAGAGTAAAGCTTACATATACTCAAAGGCATATATTATAGAGACTTGAGATGTTGATAACATTATTTGAAGCACTGGATAGAGCAAAGTCTTATATATCAAGTCATTTCCTTGAATTTCCAACTACATGAATCAATAAATTTGTTTTTTTCACACTTAACTTCTTATTTGCTAGTCTTAACCAATATGCATAGTTTCACATACCATTAGTTTTATCATAATAGCCTTTAAATCCCAGTTGTCAGTGATAATTTGGATATCCCCCTGAGGCCTGTCTGTATCAGACTTAAATATGCATTTTAAGAAGTCTGTAGTGATGACCATATTACTACAAAATTTAAAACTTACTGTCCTTGCAATGACTACTATATGCAAAATATGCTCTTTGAAAAACAGAATGTAAAATTGTTATGAGTATTAAATGGACAGCTCTACCCACTAGAATGTAAACATGCTTACAAAAAAGACACATGAAGAAATTCCTTTTTATTAAATCTGGAGAAACGAAAACCTCCTATCTGTATTATTCAAGAAGCTATACAAGCAAAATCTTTATAATTAATTGATTGGAAGTAGACAGAAAAGTTGGAGCAGTGAGAAGCTTTTAACATAAAGGAAATGTAACACACATTAGAAATTTTTTCCATGAATTTTCTCTAGTGGCATGAAATAATCTCACTTAAATTTAGAGTTTATGTAAAAACATATTTATATTCGTTGCCTAGGGCTGCTGTAATAAATTACTACAAATTGGTGGCTTAAACAACAGAAATTTATTTTCTCACAGTTACGGAGGTGAGAGTCTGCAATCAGTTTCACTGAGCCAAATCAAGGTATTAGAAGGCCACGCTCCCTCTAGAGACACTAGGCCAAAGTTCTAGAAGCCTCTTCAAGGTTCTTATGGATGTTCTGCTCCATAAGAACACTGCCTAATCCTTTTCTGTGTATGTAAAATGTACCTCTGCCTCTCTCTTACAAAGATACTTATGATTGCATTTAAGGCCCACCCAGATAATCCAGAATAATCTCTCCATCTCAAAATCCTTAATTTATCATACCTGTAAAGTCTTTGTCATACAGTAACATGTAAAGTTCCAGGGATTATGATATAGATATCTTCTTTATAGCCATTTTTCAGCCTACCGCTATATTATAAGTCACTCCACAGCTATAATAGTGCCAAAAAGACTAAGAATATGGAAGAGGTATGCATTTTATATTCTCAAATTAAATTTTTCCATAATGTTCTCTACCCATATTAGCATAAACATAAAAAGCTCCAAACCTGTCATATTTAAAATAAAGAAGAGATCCTAAGACCATGGTAAGGAAATGTCTAGTAAACACAGCCTTGTGAATTAAATGTGTTAATTTAAGCCAAACTTAAAATATCATTCCTTGAAACTACAAAGTCATGACAATTTACTTTATTTCAAATTTAAAAATTAATATAAGATTTTACCTCCAGATCCTAACTGCTTATAGAATCTGTATTCCAAATGTAGCTGTGGTGCTCTGGATTTCATGGGCTCCTAATTGAAAAACAAACAAAAAAAGACTTTAAGTTACTAAAAGATCACTAGGCCCCAACACAAATGTTACAAATTTTGGTGTCAACGACTATATTACGTAATAGTCTACTAGGCATCTTTGTCTCTCTAAGATTAGATCCATGTAAAAGTCAACTTTTGTTCAATGTAAAATAAAATGATGCTACAAATCTACATAAAGTAAACAGCCATTAGATCAGGCAATAGAAAAATCTCTTATGTTTGACTCTTTGATGCTGAGGAAAAATATGTTTTGAACAATCATCACTAGAGAAATGATGGCCCTTACACTATTTATCCTGTTCCCCAAATTCACCTCTGAGCTGTGTATTTCTTACATAAAGGTTCTGGATTAAAATTAAGTCATAGGATAGCAAGAAAGAACAAGGATGGTAATATGGAAATTTTGATAGTAGCAACAATGTATTAAATTTTTTTCATTAATGTATAACTCATATGCAATAAAACACACAGTTTCTAAGCATTAAATCCATGTTATCTCCATATACCCCATACCACCACACCAATCTACAGAACATTTCCATCATCCGGAAATCCCTTTTTGACTTCTATTCACCTTTGGATTAGTTTTGCAAGGTTGCTGGATTTCATCTAAATGACATTATACAGTATACGCTTTCTATCATGTCCAGCTTTTATCATTCAACATGTTTTTGAGATTCATATATACACATACACACCACACACACAACACACACATACACATGCACACACACACACACACACAACATGTACAGAGGAAACATGGGTTTTAAATATTAGAAATAATGTTAAATATGAAAACACAGAAGTAAAAAACTGTAATAGGGTACCAGAAAATTTCAAAAGTAATCAATAGAACTTTGAAAATTAAAAGAATAAAATAACTAAATTTAAAACTCACTTTGCCAGCAGATTAACACAACATGAAAGAGAATTTGGAAACTGTAAGGCAGACAGAAAAATTATATAGAATGCATCATGGAGGAAGAAAAACTAGAAAACAGTAGATTAGAGACCTGGACAATCCAGTGAGAAGGTTTAGTATGGATCTGATAATAGTCTCAGGAGGAAAGGAGTCAGAAAAGCAAGCAGAGGCAATAATTGGATAAATTATTGCTATGAATATTCAAAAAATGATGAGGATAACAAACCACCAATTCAAGAAGAATGTCAATCCCAAACAGGACAACTAAAAATAATTTTATACCAACGCATCATAATGAAATTATGACCAACAACAAAGAATTCACATAAGCAAATATTAAGATCCCACTGCAAAACTTAGAAATTTTATTACAGGAGAAAACAATCAGCTTAGTTCTTGAGAGGCAGGATAGTACAGTAGTTAAGAGCACAGACACTGAAACTAAATTGTACTAGTTTTGAATCCTAAACCCTCTACTTTCTAGCTGTGTGATTTTCAGCAAGTTACTTAACCTTTCTGTAGTTTCCAGTTCCCTCATCTGTAAAATTGGGTTAAAACTTAATCTTTCTCATATATAAAGTACTTAAAACAGTGCCTTTCTTACATCTAGCACTATATTACCTATAATTCTTCAGTTAACTATTTCTAAGTACATAACCTTAAGATGTAATAAAAAGATGTCCACGTAAACAACCACAAATGAAATTAAATATATAACATATTCAATCACTAATACCCCTCAGATACAAACAGAGCGCCAAATTTGACTTAGTTGAATCATTTCAACTAGATTCCAGTATTTAAGCAGTAAAATTTTAACACTATATAATAAAAGTCACCTTCTCCAGAATGACATACAACAAGATATAAGGATGGTAGCTGAGGTAAAATTAACAAATCCTGAAACAAACTATCAATCTGAACTAGGGTAATATTAGATAAATGTAAAAATCTTTTTAAGGGATAACGGAGCTGAAAGCAGTCACAAAAGTCTGCTCTCTGAACTCAGGTTATCAAATAATGCCTTTATTTGTGCCAAGCAAAGTATAAAAGCTAGATAGCACTGAGGTATACAGACATAAGATTTTCAAGTGGTTACTGTTAAGGTAGGTCTAGAAAAATGTTATTTGGTGCTAACAGATACAAATGAAAAAACATTTAAGGAAATTATGAACAAACTATCGTTCAACAATATATATGAAAAGTTTTCTGTCCTTCCAATATTTCGATGAACTTGAGGTGAACGTGACTAGATACCACTCTACAACCTCAAAATACTAGAGACATAGATCCAAAAATATTCCTAGTTCCCCCCAAAAAATTGAATAACCATAATAATTACATGTAATGCTAATCGTTATGCTTTAAAGGACAAAGCAGAGAGGAAGAAGAATGTTTCCCCCCCAAAAAAAGGGGGAAAGTAATTAAGAGGACAGAGATACAGCACAAAAATAAACTTAAAAAGTGATATATGTGCATCTATATAAGAAGGCTAAAAGATGACATCATAAATGTTTAGTAAGACATCAATAGTATGAACAAGTTCCAAATCTGAAAGTAACAGGACCTAAGGATCATCACTTAATGAATGAAACAGATAAGGAAAGGTCAGCCCAGAGCAGGGGTTCCTACTTTGACAGGATGGTTTATCTGACTTAACATTTCAGATAAATATCATTCACATACAAAACATGCTCCCATAAGTAGTTTCTCACTATAGGCTGTTGTATGAATAGCACAGACTGTAAGTACTGCCACACTTTTATCCTTGCACACAAGGATTGTTGTAGGTGTGCAAGACCCCTGGCCTACAACGTGAGTAAAGGAAGAATTTCAAAGAAATGAAAGTCAGTGATGCCCATTCAAACAATGTCCAGGCTGGGCATAGTGGCTCACACCTGTAATCCCAGCACTTTGGGAGGCCAAGGTGGGCGGATCCCACAGTTGGCCTCCCTACTGTGATTAATATTTACCAACCTCTTGTCCTGATTATGCTCATGAGAGGACCCTGTAATTTTAACTTGGACTTTCTATGTACATCAGCCTATAGAAAGAAATTTGGGCTTTCTGGACCTGTAATAGTAAAATACTTCATTATTAGTTAGAAATTCACTCTTTCCTGAATCTCTGAGAGCTTGATAGTGTGAACTGATTACTGTGAATCCACCTCTAAAAAACAGTGACAATTGTTGAGATAGCCTAACCAGGTTTTGTTTCATAAGCCAAGAACCAGATCTTAATACTAAGATGGACTCACCTAAGTAAAAGCCAGTCTAAAGCAACATGTCAGCCAGCCAGTCTCTCTTGATGGCACTGCAACCCTACTGTACATCTTTATTTCCCAGTGAAGAAACAATTGTTACACTAAAACTTGGTCTATACTCATAAAGATACTTAAAATTAAATAGTAGAGTTTTTCTATTTCCTCCCATTTGCCTCTTCTCCCAATAGTCTCTTTTATATATTCATTTCACATTACCCTAATAACAGAGGTTATATTGGCAGAGACAAGGTTGACAAAGGCAGAGAAAACCAAGCCATACTAAATCTCAGGAAAACCTGGCTGGCAAACCAGACAGAAAAGTTGTACCAGAAAAAGTATGTCTTATAAAAATAATTCCTAGATCCCAATTCTTCCAAAAGCGATTTCTCTCTGCTTTGCAGCTGTCATACTGGGCATACTGAAGACTTCAGAATAATCCCACGGGAGTTTGCTTTCTTTGTTATCTATCGCCTACCGCATCAAGCATTTCTGAATCCCTGAAAGTCAAGCAATAGCCAGCTTTACCATACATACGAAGTATCAATTTAAAAAGAAATTTCAGAAGCTAACTGGCAGTATGTTTTCAAAGAATATAATCCTGAATACTAAGAACACTTCTGTTTTATCAAACTGTTTGAATCAGAAGGCAAAATCTCGTTAATTTTTAACCAATTAAAATTCCTTCCCTAAATTAAAAATAGGGCCAAGATCCAAAAATTCAGTTCCGTGATGCTGCCAAAGTAAAGGGATTGAGTTTTTGTGGTACAGACAAACATGAATGTCCTACACATTACCATATACTTTAAGAGAAAGATGATGTTAGGAGCTTAGCAACAAAAGATTAGCTATGCATATAACTTTCAAATAAATATCCAAATTATAAATGACATTAAAAACAAAAAATGATTAAAATATAAGTTAATAATGTAAAAAGTAACAAGGAAATAATTAAGAAAAATTAAGAAACAGAAACTTACCAGCTTAATTGCCACATATTCATTTGTGTATAAATTTTTCCCTTGAAAAAGAAATAAAAAATCAGATTCTGCCAGTAATTTATTTTAAAGATACATTATATAAAACTGTACTCTGAAAAAAAGCACGTAATACATTTAATTAAAGCATGGGTTTTGCTTCTGTATCACCAAAAAAAATTAACAAGGAAATATTTAAACTTATTATCAACTCAATGATACATTTAGTATTTCGCTGAGATTCAAAGTAGAAAGTGATACAAATAAACACTGCAGATATTAACAGCCCACTTACAAAAATGGTAAAATTCTGATTTCACTGGAATATTGTATATAACTTAGAAAGTAATCAATTGTCAAATGAATGCTTAAAAAATTTGAAAACCAGAACTCCTATATAAGAATACCAAATTATTCTCCCAACCATGAAATCTATCATTTCATTTTAAATCCATCATTATTATGAGACGTAATCTTACTAAGGCTCATATTTAATCAAGTAAATGTATTAAATACATTTAAAATACCTGAAAGAAAATGAAATAATATTTAAAAACATTCAGTAATTAGCTCTGATAAACTATCCACTTTGAGGACAAAAACAGTTATTGGCGCCTCACCTTAACCAGATTAATTCCAAATATCTTAAGAGTTAAATATAAGCTATAAAACAAGAAAAAATATTTATCGCATCCATATATTAAGGACTTTTAGAGCATAAGAATTAAGATCATGGCCAGGCGCAGTGGCACATGCCTGTAATCCCAGCACCTCAGGAGGCCAAGGCAGGACAATCACTTGAACCTGGGAGGCAGAGGTGCAGTGAGCTGAGATGGTGCCACTGCACTCCAGCCTGAGCAACAGAGTGAGATTCCATCTCCAAAAAAAAATATATATATACATAAAGATCATAAGGTTTTATACAGATTTGATTACATTATATATTTAATATCACCAGAGATTTAATATCACTAACTCGTAAAGAATTCAAATGAATTACAGTAATCTTTAGCATTGGCAAATCAAAAACAATCTAGAAAATTCCAATTGGTCAGCATCTGTAGACAAAGTAGAGTACTGAGGAGAATTTTGGAAGCACTAAGTATATGAAGATAATTTGATTAATGTGTAAGTACATTAAAAAGAATTTTAAAAAGTACATGATTTCTGAATTTCCAGGATTTTTTCAAATAGCATGTATTACTTTTATAGTGAAGAAAACAGAATGATAATAGTTGTTTTTTTTTTTAACAGTAAGAGTAAATGGCCCTAATCACATTGGCTACTGAACACAGAAGAAGCAATCATCAACTTTGACACATGTGATTTTCCAACATTATAGCCCAAACCTCCTTCCATACAGCAGCTGATGAATGGTAGTAAAACTTCTAGGCAAAATTCCAGCTTTTTATACAAATATTGTAATACTTTTCTGAATTTTGTCCTTATTGCACAAAATTGAGTGAAAAGAAAAAGAAAAAAGAAATATTCATATTAACACTAAGTAATATAGGTGTCAAACTCAACACAGTTGGCAAAAAAAATGGCATTCAATAGAAGTTCCAAAAGTGGTCAACTTTAAGCTCTATTCATATATGTACTGAACCTATATACATATTTTTTAAATGACAGAATATTTCATATTTTTAGTCAATTATTTCAACATTTAGATGTACCTCCATAAACATTTTCAAAAATGCATTATATATGAAAAGTTAGGTTTCCTCTAGTAACCTTATATAGTGAATATTTTAATGATATTCACAATGAAGAACTTAATCTCAAATAACTGTCTAAGTAACAAAGAGACAATTCTGGTTTTGAGTTCCAAGACAGAATTTGTATTTCCTAAACATATTATTATCCTTTCATAACTATTTTGTATATGTTGTCTATTCACAAGTCCACAGGGAAAAAACTTCACAGGACAAGAAGTTAGGTTAAATACAGATCTCAAAGTATCAAAATATACCAAATGCCTCTAAAAGTACCATTTTTATTGGCTTTTATATGTTCCAATGTCTACCTTTTAAGTCACAGCAGAAAGCACTAACTCCTAAAAGGATTATCTTTTTTTTAAATCCTAGACATTTTGCTGAAAGTCACCGTTATAAACATGAACAAAGATTAAGCAATAACACGAGTGCATTTTTGTCACCTAGCATATACCCACAGCCTCACATAGTTGACTTTTAATCAGTATTTGCCATACACATAAACAAACAAATGATGCACAAAATACGTGTTTATGTATGGTGTGAGTGAAAGGGACAGAATGTGCATGTAGAGAGAATCCCATTAAGAGAAAAATCTAAGTAAACTGGTGCCAGTTAAGTGATGTTTTAATCTAATTTTAAAAGACATTTCCAGTAAAGCACTGTGTCATACATATTAAACTTGAAAATATAGTTTTACCGATTTTGTGGCTTTGAGATGGCAATTATCAGAAACTATGTTCTTCAAAATCCATATATATATATGTTTATAGCAGAAACAACTATTTACCCACCAATAGCCATTCTCCCCCTATAGAATGCGCAAGCTTGAAAATGGATGCTCAGCTAAGGCATTTCCCACCTCTCTTCAGCTTAGCGTGGCCGTGTGACTAAGTTCGGGATGTCAGTGAACATTAGGTATGTTCCTCCTCACTTCCAGGAAGGAATGTATATACTCCTGTCCTTTTTTCTTTCTTCTTGCAGGCTGGGAGATGGAAACATCTAAAGCAATCACCTTGTACACAGAGATTGAAGTCACATATGAACGATGCAGAGGTACCTTGACACTTTGGGTTTCTCCCTCTGGTCTGTGTCACGTAAAATAAAAATAAGCCATTTGCTTGAAACCACTATATACTGGATTTATCTGTTACCATTTTACAGTCTATTCCTTAGTTATTACATTTTTCAGATAAGTTTTATAATAGCTTCAGTTAGAAACAGTAGAAAAATCAATAAGCATGAAAATAATGAACCCATCCAAATCTACATATTTATTTGATACATATACTGTAAGGCCTGCAAAATTTTCAACAAAGGAATTATCAAATACGAACAATAAAATAAGGTGTTATTAGCTTTGTAGGAATAAGAAACAAAAAAACAAAAATAAGATGTTATGGAAGCTCCTGTGGTATACTTAATTATGTCAAAAGTTACAATATCTCATTTCAGGTATGGTTATTCATAAACCAACAAGTAATATTCTCTTCTGTGCTTTTTTTTTTTTTTTGGCAACAAAGTCTCAGTCTGTCACCAGGCTGGAGTGCAGTGGCACAATCTCGACTTACTGCAACCTCTGCCGCCCAGGTTCAAGCCATTCCCCTTGTCTCAACCTCCCAAGAAGCTGGAATTACAGGTGTGAGCCACCACACCCAACTAATTTTTTATATTTTAGTAGAGACGCGGTTTCACCATGTTGGCCAGGATGGTCTTGATCTCCTGACCTCATGATCCACCTGCCTCGGTCTCCCAAAGTGCTGGGATTACAGGAGTGTGTCACCACGCCTGGCCTATGCTCTTTTATATTATAGTCAGATGTGGCCACAGATTGCAAAGAAAAGTCTCTACGAAAATAAAGGTTATTATACTTACAAATTCTGGAGAAGAAGTCACACTGCATGCCACACAGGGTCACAAGGAAAGCACTAGGTTTTGGTTAGGTGGCAGAAACAAGAGCAAGCAGAGTAACGAGGCCAAACATTTACTGGAGTTTCCAAGGGAAAGGCAAGGCCAGGCAGGGAAAATGGTTAAGGATTACTTAGTTTGAATAATGCCAGTGACCCTTGGGCTATAATAATGGGTCTCTAGCTGCCAGGTGGCCCTGGAGGGATGATAAGGTAAAAGAATACTGCCTCCTGGATGTATGGGTCAGATAGAAAAGGGCTGTGGATTGGTTAATGTGCACATCAAAGGCATGCTCCCAACTGAGTTTTTTGCTAACTCTAAAAATTGGTTAACCCCTAGAGGGGCAATCTCATCCCAGCCAGAAAAAATTTTTAAAACGTCAAAACATCATAATACACAGAAAAATAAAAACACATATGTAATACAATCAACCCTGTATTTTAGCTAGCTATGTTTGGTCTTATTGAGTGACTATCAAAAACATTCCTAGGAGTTTGACCGCCCAAATTGGAAATACATTTACCAATAAAGAATGCAAATCTTACTACCAACACATAAAATAAAACTACAAAAACAGATGGTTCTCAACTATGATGGTTCAATTTGAGATATTTCAACTTTACATAATGATGTAAAAACAATATGCATTCAATAGTAATCATACTTTGAAATTTGATCTTTTCCTGGATAAGGTCAAAATAAGCAATAAGAAGCATGATACTAGCTCTCAATGCTGGGCAGGTGCAGTGAGGTGACACTGTCAGTCACCCACACAATCATGAGGCTAAACAATCAATATTCTACAGTGTACTGCATTGCCAGAATTTTCTGGATATTGTGTTTTGAGTTTTCCAATGTCATTATGTCTATAAAATGCCCATTTTCAACTTAAGATATTTCAACTTAAGATGGTTTTATCAGGATGCAACCCCATCTTAAGTTGAGGAACATTTGCACATCAATTCACCTTCCTTATTTCTTCCTATTTATTTTAGAGACAGGATCTCACTACATTGTCCAGGCTAGACTCGACCTCCTAGAATCAAGTGATCCTCCTACCTCAGCCACTCCAGTAGCTGGAACTACAAGCATGCTCCCACATTCCTGACTGTTAATTTTTTTTTTTTTTTTCATTTTGGAGATAGAGTCTCACACTCTCTTGCCCAGGCTGCAGTGCAGTGGCACGATCTCAGCTCACCACAACCTCCACCTTCCGGGTTCAAGTGATTCTCCTGCCTTAGCCTTCCGATTAGCTGGGATTACAGGCGTGCACCACCATACCTGGCTAATTTTTGTATTTTTAGTAGCGACAGGGTTTCACCATGTTGGTAAGGCTTGTCTCAGCCTCCCAAACTGTTGGGATTAGAGCCACTGTGCCTGGCCCTGTTCAATTTAAAATAAAAACAGAATCCAGATAAAAATGATAAATACATGTATTTAAATGCAATTTAAAAGTAAATAAACATAATTTAAAATTATTATTTTAAATGCTTACCAAGTTTTTTTTAATCTCACCATCATTTTTTTTTTTTGAGACAGCATCTCACTCTATCACGTAGGTGCAGTGGCACAATCATAGCTCACTGCAACTTTAAACTCCTGAGCTCAAGTGAACCTTCTGCCTCAGACTCCTGAATAGCCAGGACTATAGGCATACACCATCACACCTGGCTAGTTTTTTTAATTTTCTGTAGAGACAGGCTCTCACTATGTTATGGAGGCCGGTCTTGAACTCCTGGCCTCAAGCCACCCTCCTGCCTCGGTCTCCCAAAGTACTGGGATGATAGATTAGAACCACCATGCCAAGAACCACAGGTCTGAAGTTTTAAATGTCCTGCAATGCCTGGAACAGTGTTCTACTCCAAAATAGAACTATCCAGCCCAAAATACCAATTGCGCCCTTACTGAAAATCACTTACCTATAACATGTGTAACTTATAGTCTTTCTTACCCAATATTAACCACATAAAATTTCAGTACCAGAAATCAAATGTTCAAGATGTATCTATTAATGAGGTTTTAAAGAAAGTATTTTAAGAATATAAACAAGCTTTTAAGGTTAGTGTTTGTGCAGGTATAGAAAGAATAATGCTCACAATAACATTTTCTTAACAAAGAAACCATCTGGGGCTTTTTGAAAAGCAGTAAAATACCCTTTTAGTAGTCTATGAAAAAGGAAGAATAAAATCATTAGTCTATATCTATATATTATATGTATCTTGTAAGTATATATAAAACACAGACACAGAGACAATACACTCAAATAAATTTATATATATATATATATATATACACACACAAATGTATATATACACCAAAGACCCATAGATAGATTAGATAGGTAGGAAGACAGATTGATATACTAAGAAGCCATCATATTCCTATTCCTGTTTATTCAAACACTGCAAAAGAAAGGGGTGTTTTACTGCTGTTTTAGTATGGTACATATAGTTTCTCACATTGTCCTTGTTAAAATGGTCAACTAGCTTTGTGTGAATACACACACACACACACACACCTATATACACATGCCACATATGGGGATGTGTGTGTATTCACACAAATACATATGTATCTGTGTATGTGTATAGTTATTTTGAAATAAACCATATGAAGCAGATTTTGAATAAAAATGGCCAAAGTATATGCAAGTATAGTGTCGGTCTTTTCACAATATTATCTAAATTTGATCATCACAATAACCTAGGAAGTGGAAATGATCCCAATATAAAGAGAAATTTGAGGCCCTGAGTCTTTAAATGATTTATGTGCTCCATAAAGCACTATTTTTATATTCTTCCAGAATATCATCAATGCCTAATTGTACCTGGTACATGATAAATATGTAATAGGTATTGGATGTTACTGAGAATTATACACAATAACAGATTATAAACAAGTAATGTTTTCTCTAACTCCAAAGTCTGAAATAATTTAGAGCTTTCAAAGTATCTAATTCAATATCCTTCAAATAATAAAACATAAAACACTGCCCCTTATTTGAATCCCTACTAAATATGAAAGAGTCTGCCAGCAACATCATGTAACAACTAGATATAAATTATATCATTGCCTTATATTGGCTTGCTTCATTCAAATATTTAATGTATATCAACTACACAAAACTAATAAGATGAAGGAGTAACTACAGATTAGGGTACTTCACAAGATGAAATGGAGTAGTAATCGAGTAGATAAACATACAATTGGATTTATTTCTAGCAGCAGGATTGAATCTAAGAGAAACTGTAAAGTCAAATTTTCTTTTTACATCTAAAGTTCACTCTTGGTGGCCCACTGACCAGAGCACTCATGGTACCTGAATACTGACTTCTATACAACCATTATAGCCACCCCACCCTCCTGCTTGGTTTTCTGCAATGGAAAAGCTACATCACTACTGTATTAGGAGTTAAAAGACCTAGATTTTGATCCTGAGCTTGCCATTAAATTGTTGTGAACATCTGACAATTAACTTTCCCTCATTGAGTTCCAATTGCCTTGAATATAGAATTAGGAAGCTTAATTAGACCAGCATTTCCCAAATTCCCCTAATTATAACAACCTGAATCAATACTGAGCCCCTTGTTAAGAATATAGACTCTTGAGCCCCAACCCCAGACATACTTGAAGCAGAAGGGTAGAAAAAACAAAATTAAATTACAATGATGTAAATTCATTAATTGTATGCAGTTTCAGTATATTAACTTGACTTTAAGCCACATCCATGCCCCAAAAGTGATGAATTACTAAACATTTTTGAATCTGAAAAAGTAGTCTAAATATCATTCCTAAAGAAAACTGCAAAGGCTTTACTGGAAGCTATTTCAGCCTACTGGGCCTTTTTAATTGTTTGTTTTCTCATCACCTGGATGATTAATCTCTGGATGGTTAAAGTAGACATTCCTATACTAGAGAATTTCTTACACATGAAAATACAAGCACAAAAGAAATTCCCAACATCTGTATTCTTTAAAATTATCACAACCATTAAACAACTAAACACTTATATACTAAATCATTTTCATTAAAAAGTATCTTCCAATTTTTAAAGTGCTTCTAACGTAATGGAATAAACAAAATAGTCTTACCTAATCGTAATTCTCCAAAATTGCCACATCCAATTTTTTTTCCAACTCTAAAGTTAGGTCCAACCATTAAAACTCCAGACGATGAAGACCCAGTTCCTCGAGTGTTGTGCCCCGATCGACCACTAGGTCGTGCCATTCTATCATCTGATTTGTCCTTGTCTTTCTTTTTATTTTCCATATCAAGTTTGCGGTACTCCACTTTGAATTCTTTAATCAAGACAAGCACACTGAAACAGGGTATTGTGAAAACAGGTACATCACTAGGTAACTGTACCAGATGGGTAATGTTAACATTCAAATTGCAGTAGGTAGTCAATTAACTGGAGCATGTTCATCCCATTCGTAAAATTTTTCTCAGTTGTCTTTTCAGCAAAACATGTCTTCAAAATTATCTTTTCAATGATGTGAGCTGATATTGATAGAGAGCTAGAATATTAAGAAAAGGAAATTAGTCAACTAAGAATTTTAAAATATATGTTTGGGAAATTAGATAACAAAACAAAAGTTTAGGCAAGAATTACTGCTATATGTTGATGCCCATTGAAATCAAACCACAGTACAAACTTTTAAGTTAATCATTATCCTTTATTTATATACTTTAATACCAAAGATAGGACAAAAATAAAACAAAGAAATCACATATTCAACTACTTCTTAAAAATTAAAAAAGGGACAAAATTATATTGTTTCATAACTCAATATACATTCACTAATATAAACCTTTCAGCTTAAAATTATCTCAATTAGACAAACAGTACTCAAAATATTTTTCAAGTCTTTTGGAAGAGTCTTCCCCATTCATATTATCTGGGAATTACCTCAATTCTGTAGTAATTCTGCACCCTTACACGATTTCCCTACTTTTCTATGGTAATTCTGCACCTTATGCGATTTCCCTGTTTCTGTTTGAACAATTTGAGTGGGCTCTTGTTCTTTGCTATCAAAGAAATTATAATTTCAAAATATAGTCACTAATGAAGAAACAAGGGTTGATATCAAATACTTATTCCTATTACAGAAATTTTATAATTATATAATCCAACCACAATAAGGTTTGTAACAAATAGTATTTTCTGATTAATTTTTAGCAACTCACCAAATATGCAATTACTGTTACAAGTAGTGACTAACTGGGGCCGGTAGTGTGGGCAGTAAGGGAATTTACCAACAGTTAGTAAAGAAAGGCAGACTTATTAGAAAAAGTAGGAAAACACTTTGCAGGAAAGCAATGGGCAGATCAGCAAGAGAGGAGCTGACTGAAAAGAGACAAAGGCTTGGCGGGGATTATATAGGATCATTCTTGTGCTGGAGAGGGCTATGTGCAGTATTGATAATGTCAAGGTTGCAGTGAGCTAACCTGTATTTTTCTATCAGCAGAGGGTCTGGTGATAAGTTGGGCACAGGAAGACTGAGTTTTTTCTGCAGAAGGGCTATGTGTCCTGGACAATGAAGAAATTCCAGGTTTTTCTTTTTACATCCCACCCCCCAACGCCCCCCCCATCCCACCAGCCTGACTCCTTTTCCCTAATTAGGATTCCACAATTACTCCTAACAATCTATTTATTAAATTTGTTTTATTTGCCATACTCTTATTTGCAGACGCAACTTTAAGCTTCCGTTTACTCTCCTTCCAGCCATGACAGAGTAACTATACTGAACATCTCTTCCTGTTGTAAATAAGTAGAAAGCTAGACAAAATATATAAAGCATCTGTTTTTAGGCATCAAATAATAGGCAGTACAGACTGTGATCCTTGAGAAAAAAACACAAAAGGTGAGTCTCACCTTCATCCAAGCTCTCTGGCTAGGAGCAATTTCCTAACCACAGCACAAGGAGGCCTCAGGCAACACAGAGTGATCATAGATCAGAACATGCAGCTGTTGAAGTGAATGGAATTTGTAGTACAAAGAATCAAAAATGAAGTAGTTCTGTAGTGGTGTGGGTTAAGGTGGTAGTAGGGCAGAAGGCTAGGCTACACGTGTGCAAGGGAATAGTCTGAAAAACCTAGCAGAAAATAGCTACTACAGTGTTAAATGAAGAATAGAAATACTAGAAGTTTCACAGAACTGAGAAACTTTAAAGTTCCTATTAAGTCATAGAAGAACCTCACTAATATCCCAGGCATTCAGCTCGGATACCACAAAAACTCTCAAAAAAGTCATATCCAACAGTAAAGGCCTACTCTAGTGTGTCCCAACTAAAGTCTAAAACTAAACCTAGATAGGATTCAGAGTAGCTCTGAACACATTAATTGCATTCTAGAACAAAACTTAAGTCTCAAAAAGACAAAAACCCAGACTCTCAACAATACTACTAAAAATTACCAAACATGTAAAGTATCATAAATGTAACCCATGGCCAAGAAACAAAGCTGTCAAAGGAGACAGACCCCAAGATGACCCTGATGTTTGAATTGGAAGACATGACTTAACACTAAAAAATAGCTATGAGAGTCATATTTAACTGAAGAAAAAAAGGGCAGAAAAAAAAATTGAAGAAATAATAGCTAAAAACTCCCCAAATTTGATAAAACAACAAAAACCTACAAATTGACTCAGCAATAATCACATAATAAACAAATTTTTAAAAAAACTAAATCTATGCACATCACAAACTGTTAAAATCCAAAAATTTAAACAATCTTGAAAGCAGAGAGAGAAAAAACTAAACTTGACATATAGGGGAACTAACTACTTATCAAAAACAATGGAGGCCAAAAGAAAAGGGAAGGATATTTTCAAAGCAATGAAAGGGGGAATAAAAACTTTCAATATAAAATTCTTTTTCCTCTTTTTTTCCCCACAGGTGTTGATCAATTCAGAATTCTACATCCAGTAATGTTATTCTTTAAAACAAGGAGAAAGAAAGGCATTGTTAGATGAAGGGAAGCTGAGAATTGGTCACAAGCAGACCTGCACAACAAGAAATGCTTTTTAAATAGTCCTTTAAGCTGAAGTAAATCACATAATACCAGACAGAAATCTGAAACTTTAAGAAGAAATCTAGAGCACTGAAACAAGGAAATGCATGGGTATTCATTTCCTTTAAAGATAAATTACTATTTAAAGCATAAACAATTTCTTACTGTTATATATAACACAGGTAGAAGTAAAATATATGACAACATTAATGGCAAGGAGGGGTAGTTGTAAATGGAATTACATTGCTTTAAGACTCCTTCTTGAAAATTATTAAGAAAGTAGATTTTAAGTGTTCTCACCACACACAAAAAATGCGAGGTAATGCATATGTTAATCAGCTCTATTTAGCTATTCCACAATGTATACATATTTCAAAATATGTTCTACACAATAAATACACATAAATTTTATTCACTATATAAATTAAAAAGAAAATGAGAAAAAGATTGTATTTGTGAAGAATTATGTGGTTCTACATTAATTCTACATAGCCAATGATAAGTTAAAATGCACATTTTAATACCTAGCTCAAACGATAAAAAATGAGTTACAATAGGAATAGCTAAAAAACCAGGACAAGAAATAAAATGGAAGATTAAACATTACTTGGTTGTAAAAACAGAGAAAGAACATACAAGACAAAAGCAAACAAATAACACAATGGACTTTAAAACGCACATAAAATGAAATAGACCAGATTTTCCCCCAAACAGGCAAAAATTGTCAGACTATATAAAAAAAAAAAAAAGACTCAACTACAAACTGTTTACAAGAAACTATTTTAAATACAAAGACACAGCAGTGGCTTACACCTGTAATCCCAGCCCTTTGGATGGCTGAGGTAGGAGAATCGCTTGAGCTGAGGAGTTCAAGACCAGCCTGGACAACATGGTGAGAGCTCATCTCTACTAAAAATACAAAAATAATAAGCCAGGAGTAGTGGCGCACACCTGTGGTCCCAGTTACTTGAGAGGCTGAGGTGGGAGAATCGCTTGAACCTGGGAGGTGGAGGTTGCAGTGAGCCAAAATTGTGCCACTGCACTCCAGTCTGGGTGGCAGAGTGAGACCCTGTCTCAAAATAAATAAACAAATACAAATATACAGATAGATTGAAAGTTAAATAATAGAAAAAGATATACTGTTTAAACAGCACATAAGAAGCTTGTAAGACTGTATTATCATACAAACTAGACATCAAAACAAAGGATTAACTCCAAATTTACAGATAATTATAATTTCTTTAAAATTTTTATAATGATAAAAATATGAATTCAATAGAAAGACATAAAAACAATAAATATGTATGAGGAAACTGAGGCAAAAACAAAACTAAAATGAAAAAAGGCAATCCTTATTAAAAAATATTTTAATCAAATGCTTTCGGTAATCAATAAGGTATAAGAAAAAATATCAGTAGGTATATGGTAGATCTAGATAATACCATCAACTACCTTGAACTAACTGACATTTATAAAATACTGCAAAATAAAATTCCCTTTCAATGCTCACCAAGAAAGATCATATGCTGTGCTATAATTTAAATCTCAAGTAACTAAAATATTACAGAGTATATCTGGTCAAAATAGAATTAAATTAGAAATCGCTGGGCATGGTGGCTCATGCCTGTAATCTCAGCATTTTGGGAGGCCAAGGCGGCTTACCCAGCTTGAGGTCAGGAGTTCAAGATCAGCCTGGCAAACATGGTTAAACCCTATCTCTATTAAAAATACAAAAATTAGCCATACATGGTGATGCATGCCTGCAGTCCCAGCTAATAGGGTGGCTGAGGCAGGAGAATTGCTTGAACCTGGATGCAGAGCTTGCAGTAAGCAAAGATCGCATCATTACACTCCTGTCTGGGAGACAGAGCAAGACTCTGTCTCAAAAAAATAAAAATTTTAGAATTAAATTAGAAATCAATAGCTATATAGCATCTAGAAGAGTCCCCAAATTTGAAAATTAAACACACATTTAAATAATTCATGAGCTGAAAAAAAAAAATCACAAGAAAAATTCGAAAAAAAAAATCTAATTTGCAATTCTAATGCTTAGCAGGAAACCAGAAGCTTTAAAGGCCTACATTAGAAAAGAAGTTTTTAATAGGTGATCTGGGCTTTCTCCTTAAAACAGCTAGAGAAAAGAGCAAATCAGACAAGAGTTGGGGAAGTACTTCAATAGTTATTACTAATAGTTATAAACTTACAGGAAAATATGGTCTTAGTGAACGAAAACAGGAATTCTCAGCTAATAAATGGATAAATACCAGAACAAAGAAAAAAAAGAGACCCTTGAATAAAACCTGTCATATCCGAAATGAAAACCTTCACTAGACACATTCAATGGCAAACTGGATAAAGCAGAAGTGTCAATAATTTCCAAAGAAATTATCCAGAGAAGAAAATCAATAAAACAGAAAATAGACCACAACAGAGAAAATAAAGACAAAAACTGATTTTTGATAAAGGTCAACAAACTTTGTAACCCCTAGCAAAAATGATCAAGACA